TGATCAGTATGAATAAAGAATTTTCTGCCCATTAAATATGGGTTCCAGTTTGATGGTAACTACAATGGCAAACATTTCCTTAGCATATGTTGACCGCACTTGCTTGTTTACTCCGAGTGCACGGCTCATATAGGCTACGGGTTGTCCCTGCTGATTGAGAACAACACATCTCCCCTCACTGGAAGCATATGGTTTTATTACAAAGGGTTCTTCAAAATTTGGCAGAGCTAAAGTGGGGGTTGTAACGACCCCGGAAATATTCAAAGAAAATAAAAGATAATTAAAGTGCAGAGCGTAATAAATGTTCAACGTTTATATTTTTTAAACAAATAACTTAAAGTACTAAATAGTGTTACGGAGTTCACTATTTTGAAAGAAACACAAGAATAAGAAAATAAACGAGAAATAAAGAAATCTAGCATTTACTCGCAATTCTCCTGCGGATTGAACTCTGGAACTTGGTCCTCTTGATCTGAAATGGTTAAATAAGGGATGAGCTACACTAACCCAATAAGGATATCACACTATATCACCGACATAGAAGTGGTATAAAATCAAAACATTAATAGAACACTTAATTTAAATAAATTCGTTTATCATAAATAAAATAATTTATTGTTCACTTACCGTAATGGGATTCATAACAACAATCTATGGAGACAATTAATATCATACAGATCATAGTTTCATGTAAAATCAGTAACATAACATACATATCACAAGTCTATATACCTCGTCAATAAACCAAACAATAACTGTCATTTTTTTCACCAGTCTACTAGTATCTATGGGGATTCATAGGGATGTCCTCACTACACGCGAACCCTCTCCTTTAACAATCTCAATTACGGGCTGTTCCCATAGCCCGTCCGGTATGAGCAACAAATTATTAAATCTCGATACCCCGTCCGGTATGAGGGTAAAGCGGACTGTCCCCATACCCCGTCCGGTATGAGTGTCAAATTATAATGTTTTCATACCCCGTCCGGTATGAGACAACGTTCACGGTAGGGTTCTCTATATACCCGGTCCGTTCACCATCTCTCAGGATATCTAGTAAGGCTGCCGTCTTCATCTATTCATTTTTCCACACAACTTTTCCGTTTTCCGTTAGTTTTCATTTTCCAAATCAATTATAATCACATAAGCGCATAAACATGCATCAGGAAATACAATCATATCTCAATTTTTCAACCAAACGGTGGTCACGTAAGGCAACAATACATGCACTCAAACCATAAAATTGATAAATCAGATACTATCATACTTTTCAACTGTAAAATAAGTCAAAAGAAATCAATTTCTGGTTCTAACTCCATTAGCAAGCCGTAATTAATTATGCACATTTACTAAATTCGCACAAAATACTATATTATTATTTATTTAAACTTCAGTTCTATGATAGGGAATAGAGTGAGAGATTTTTACTCAATTTGATGACCGAAAAACTAAACTGTTCGGCTGCACCTACGGACGATTTCTGGGTTCTCTAAATTTTTCTTCGAGAATTAAAACGCGCTAATGGTACTTACAAATGTCCCAAACAAACCCAAAATCAGTCCCAGTGCCCACTTGGCTAATTTCAGAATTTTGGCACGGCAGCTCCGCTGTGCTTCGGCGAAGGTGCCGCCGCTCCGATGGCAATCCGTCTCGGATCGGCTATTTTCGGCTGATTTTGTATCGATCCCTGCAAGAAAACACGTTAAAGGGTCTCGGTTGGCCCAAAAAATATAAAAAACCGAAACTCACCAGCGACGGGGCTCTCCGGTGCGACAGTTCCTCCGACTCACCTTGCGGTCGGATGTTTTGCTCCAGTCAACCTGTAAAGAAGGACACGGTGATCACAACGGTGGAAAAACTACACAGAACGGGAATCGGGAAGGGCCTCATCGGAGGCATTTTGTGAAATTTCCTACGACAGCAGCGCCAGGCTTTGCCGGCATTTTCCGACCAATTAACCGGTTCTTTTGCTCCGATTTTGCCATAAATGTGCTTAAAATTGAATTTCGAGCGAAAAGAAAAATTTTTACCTTTTTTTGGCGGTCAGAAAGGATTCCGGTGCGGCGGTGGGTGACCACGGTCTTCTTCCCGGCGGTCAGGTCTTCTTCTCCGGCGGTCAGGTCTTCTTCTCCGGCAAGGGGTTCTAGTGGCTAAGGTTATGGTTTGGTGCGAATGGTAGTTATGTATATCCGTTCGCTTTTAATTTGAGCTGTCCATCGCGTTTGATCTGAACCGTTCGATCGCGATTAAATAGGGAGGGAATTTGGGCCGTTCATCGCGATCCAATCTAGGCTGTCCATCGCGATCTAATATGAACCGTCCAATCGCGTTTGAATCTGACCGTTCGATCGCGTTTAGGAGGGAGCGCATTCAGACCATCCGTGCGGACGAGAACGGATCTGGGCCGTTCGATCGCGAGCACGCTGATCGCCCACGTGGCACTGTGTCAACGCCCGTTGCCACGTGGCGCATCCTGGTTCATCGGGGCTGCTGACCGGGCATCCTACGTGGTAATTTTTTTTTAAATTGCGTTTTGACCCCTAGTTTTCGAATTGTCTTTCAAAAATACCCCAGAACGCAAATTTTTACCTATTTTTTCCAAAATTGCTTTCAATTTCATCCTCCATCAATTTTATTTCATTTTTTACTCTAAATTAAAATAAAAATAAAAATAAAAAGAATTATTTTATTACATTTAGAATAAAATCCTAAATTACAAAAAAATAAATAAATTTCGGGTGTTATAGGGGTAGTTGTCAAAGCTTGTTTGAGATTTTTGAAGGCCTCTTCTGCTTCTTCAGTCCACCCAAATTGCCTTTTTTTCAGCAAACTTATCAAAGGTCTGGCAAGAATCCCATATTGTCAAACAAATTTTCGATAGTAGCTAGTTAAGCCCAAAAACCCTCTCAACTCAATGATGTTGTCGGGGCTCGACTACTGGAGCATTGTTTGAATTTTGTTCTGATCAACCTTAACCCCTTAGGGAGTAATAATATGTCTCAAGTATTCCAGTTCCTGCTTCCCGAATACATATTTTTTGAGCTTAACAAAGAAGTGGTGTTGTCATAGGATGTCAAGAACTTGTTTCACATGGTCAAGGTGCAGAGCCTAGCTTGGACTATAGATAAGAATATTGTCAAACAAAATTACAACAAACTTACGGAGATACTGCCGAAATATGATGTTCATCACTGCTTGAAATGTGGACGGAGCATTGAAGAGACCGAACATCATGACGAGATTTCATAGTGGCCGTTATGGGTGTGGAAGGTCATCTTATGAACATATGGACGATGAACTCTTACCTGATGGTATCCTACTGTGAGGTCGATTTTTGTGAAGAAGATAATCCTGTGAAGTTCATATAATATATCATCAACAGTTGGGATGGGGAATCGGTCTTTAGTGATGATCGAATTGAGTACCCGATAATCTGTGTAAAATCTCCTAGTTCCATCATCTTTTCTTACTAACAACACTAGCGAAGAGAAGGGACTAGTGCTTGGTCTGATCAGCCCAGAATTAAGCATCTCATTGACCTATTTTTCAATTTCTGATTTATGAAAATAGGCATACCTGTAAGGCTGTACATTGATCAGCTCTACTCCCTCCTTCAAGTTGATATATTGGTCGATTTTCCGGTTGTGTGGCAGCTAGCTGGTTGGGTTCTCTGAACAGGCCCTGGTAGCTGTTCAAGAGCGTCTACATTTCTGGATGAATGGTTGTCGTGAGAGTGCTTTTTTCGGCTAGAACGTGAATGGCAAGCAGGGAGGTCTTCCGATGGGTTTCCTTGGGTACCTCCTCTGCCGAAGCGATCTGGATAGGCAGGGCATCGACCCAGCGCAACCGTCGAAGTCACCCATCCCACTTAAACTCCGTGGTCATTCGATCTCAATCACAAACCACTGCCCCTAATTTTTCCAGCCATTGAACTCCAAGGACAAGATCGAGACTCGTTAGTGGCAAAGCATAAAGAGTAAGGGTGTTGACAACCATATTTTATTATTTTAGTTTATTACTTAATTAATTAAGATGGTGTAATTAGAATTTTATTAGAATAATAATCTCATGTAATTAGAATTGTAATAGAATAATTATTTTCTAATTACTAAATTAAAAATTATATAAATATTCCAAATGTAATAACTTAAAGGGTGAGAAAAAAATTATTTTTTTTCCAAAAATCAACATGATATCAGAGTCAAATAAAATTATTTTAGAGTTTTAATTTCATAATTTTTTTTCAAACCCTAAAATAGTACAATATGTTGGATTGGAACCCATTTATCAAGATTTACTCGCAACACCATCTCAGAAAGCCAACTTAGAGGGAGAGAGCTTGATCAAATTTGAGGAAGAAGCTGAAGAGTCGCTGCACAAACCAGATCCGGTTCAGACCCGACTCGTGCAACTGAAACTTCTCTGGCATGCAGCATCTTGATGGAACGATCTGCACGCAGTAGGACAGATCTGTTCGTCCAAATCGGCACGAGAATAAAGCCGTTTTTGCACGACCTCCATTGCAGATTTGAATCGAAGGAAGTTTTGACGTGCGCGGCTCACATGAAGGAGACATATCGCCACGGAAGAAGCTTTGGGCGAGGAGAGCAGAAGATAGATCCCCGTACGCGAAAACAAAGTGCCGAAGAAGACG